AACGCGGAAGTGAATACAACTGACCAAATAATGAGACCTAGCACTCATTTAGTGAAGGCTAGCTAGGCCGAGGTCGCGGGACCGCGCATGGTTGGGTGCATGTTCGGGGTTGGGAAACTCGAAGGCGACGCAAGGGACGTTTGGTTCGGAGGGCGAGGTCGTCGAACCGAGCCTGGAACTCCGAAAGTTGGAGTTGTACGCGCATGGAGTGCCTCAGTAAGGAATTAGGGAAAATTCCTTACAGTTGACCTTACAAAAAAAAGGTTTCTTGAGCCTCATATTGAAAGCATATGACATATGATTATTGGAATCAAGCCTATGGGCTGTTGGAACCACGATTTTTTTCCTCAACCCCCCTTGCCCATTATCGGCAAAAAAACACTAATCAAGCTTTACTCCACCGAACAGAGCAATAATCTATCAATGCTACCTCAAGCCTCCATTTTCTTCAATCGCCCCAATTGCGCTGTTCGAACACAACATCCCCCCCCTCTCCGTTACAAGCTCCTCCGTTCGAACCTCTTGGGTCTCCCAAGAGAGGCTCGGACCCCTCAGGTTCGCCATGTCGCGGTCGATACTGGCCAGCGCAGGATTCTCTTCCTTTATTCAGTTCAAACCTGACGTTCCTTCCCGCCCCGTTACAAGCTTCTCCGTTCGAACCTCTTCGGACTCCCAGGAGAGGCTCGAGCCCCTCATGTTCGCCATGTCCCTGTCGATTTTTGCGAACGCAGGATTCACTTCCTTTCCAAAGCACTCCTCTTTCATAACCATGAGATCGGAGAGAACGCGGGCCATGGTGGGGCGAGCAGTCACTTGCTCGGCAGTGCAGGAGAGGGCGAGGCGGGCCAGGCGGAGGATGCTGTCGCTTGGGGCATCTAGTCGCGGGTCCTTGATGGTATCTGCGTCCCCCGCATCCACTAGGGGTGTCACCTGGAAGGGTGGGGTGAGGGAGGAGCAGGTGGGAGAGACAGAAGTGATACAAGGGGCATAAGAGGCATGTGAGGATGATGTGGTAGGGGCGTCTAGTCACGGATCTTTGACGGTGTCTACATTCCCAGCGTCCAGTAGGGGTTGCACCTGAAACGGTGGGGTGTGGGAGGAACAGGTGGTAGAAACAGAAATGATACAAGGGGCATGAGATGCATGAGAGGCATGAGAGGCATGAACAGGAACAGGGGCAAGGTGTGGGAGGAACAGGTGGGAGAGACACAAGTGATACAAGGGGCATAAGAGACACAAGAGGCATGAGAGGACGATGTGGCTTGGGGCGTCTAGACACGGGTCTTTGATGGTGTCTGCATCCTTTACTGTTACCAGGGATTGCACCTGGAAACGTGGGGTGAGGGAGGAGCAGGTTGGTGAGGGAGGAGCAGGTTGGTGGAAGAGGAGCAGGTGGAGAGAGAAAATTGATACAAGTGGCATGAGAGGCATGGGAGGATGATGTCGCAGGGGGCCTGAAAACATGAGACCTTGATGGAGTCTGCATTTCCTGCGTCCACTACAGGTTGTACCTAGAAGGGGAGAATGCAGCGAGGGGAGGAGGGTCACAAGCAAGTGGCACAAGGGGTACCCGGGTTTGCCGCTAGAGGGGGGGTTTTATGTGTTTGTGGTACCTTTGTGTGTTTTCTTGGTTGTTGGCTTGCCTGTTTGTCGTTTGATTGCTTAGACTAGCTTAGTACCCAGGTCTGTACCTTGATGATACTAATACGAAGGACCGTTCGAGAGAGAGAGAGAGAGAGAGAGAGAGAGAGAGAGAGAGAGAGAGAGAGAGAGAGAGAGAGAGAGAGAGAGATTCTGACACGGGTGCCAACGGCGACTCGAGCGATTCTGCCAAAGTCACGCAGGATCCTCGGGATCCTGGACCGAAACTGCCCGGAAAGCTCCGCGTGGCCCCACACACCGCCAGCTGCAGGTTCGCCACCACCTCGCACGCCTCCGCCAGGTTCAGAATCCGGCACATGGTCAGCATGGGGTCTTTCCCCGCGCGAGTGGGGGGAGGTGCAGTCAGCGCTTCGCGCGGAAACGCCGTCGGCCAGCCAGGAGTCCGGCCAACAGTTAAGCGCGGCGCAGAGAAGCCGGGAACCTGACAGGGGGTGCGGAACTGAGCCCTCCCCTCACGCGCGGGCTGATATTCGCGCAGCGTCGGCGCGCGCAGCGGAGCAACCTGGCTGGGGTCCGCGGCGAAGGGGGGACCGTTGGTCACCTCAATGTGGACGTGAGTCGGCGCCCCACTCGCCCGGGCCTGCCTCACCACCTCCACGAACGTGTCCGCGGCGCGATCGAGGGCAGGATCCCCCTGGTGGCCATTCCCTCCCCGATTCCGCCGGCCACGCCGCCCCCCGGAACCAGCCGAATGTGGACGCGGGGAGGACTGCTCGCGGCGACCCGAATCCCAGCGACGCCCAGGCGACCCCCTTCCCCGCGTCGCCGGAGATCGCCGCGGAGAGCGTTGCGCGGGGGATCGCGCTCGGGGTGAGCGCGGGCCTGCCCGACCACGAGGGGATGGGCGACGAGGGGAGCGAGGACGCGCGGGGGAGCGCTGATCCCCCCCCTCGCGCTGATAGTGTTCGCGATGCTCAGGGGACGGGCGGCGAGGAGAGGGCTGCCAAGGAGGCTGACGTGGAGGCGAGCGCCCGCGCTCCTGCCGCGGCTGACCGTCCGGGCGGTTCGACGCAACACGTGCAGGCGCCCACGAATACTCCGGCGAGGTTGGGCGCGCGGCAGGCTGATGGGGAAGAGTTTGCACCCGCTCGAAGCGGCGGACGGGCTCGCTTGCAGAGGGGTGCGCGAGGAGGCGCGGACGAGGCCCGGCAGGCGCAGGCTCCGGCAGCGCGCTCTCCGCGGATCCCTCCAGCTCCGGATCCCGTCTCGCGGATGGGTCCATCACCCCCGATCGTACCGCAGCCGACGCCAGCGCGCCGACAAAGCGACAACGAAGTGGCCGCGGCGCCGCAAACTGAGCGCGAGGGAGCTGCTGTGGGAAGAGCAACGCGCGGAATACGCGTGGGACGCGGCAGCCGCCGCGGACGAAGGGGAAACGAGCGAGGACGAAGAGGAGGTGGATCACGGGTTTCAAACAGGCGCCGCACCGGCGCAAGCGGCTACGCGAGAAACGCGGAAAGGCAGATACGAAACGGCGCAGAGGGCGGCGAGGATCCGCCTGGCGAGGAGGCAGAGGAGGAAGTGGAGAATGAGGGAAGTGACGGGGGTGACCCCGCTTTTAACCCTGAAAGAGAGGGGATGTTGGGTGCAGAAGCCGAGGAGGACGAGGATGAGTTGGAACTTCTGCTTCGGGGAGAGGAGCTCGCCAGACCCATGGTCCGAGGCGAACCTGCCAGCCGAGCCACAGCCGAAGGAGCGGGCCAAAATCCAACCCCAGGACGAGCCGCATCTGCAACTCCAATACCCAGAAATCGGACCGCGAGGCAGAACCGAGCCGCCCCCAACAATGCGGTTACCACCGCCCCAGCCAATGCCACGGCCCCAACGCCCGCCACCCCCAACCCAATCATCAGCGCTGACGACCTAGCAGGCCGTCTGGACCTTTTCGCAGACGTCGTCAACTGGGACATCTGCCCGCTACGCGACAGCAGACAGCCACCCCTTGCCCGCCACCCACCCCGCCCACTTCGCGAATCCTTCGCGATATGCCTGCTGACGCCACTGCTACACCTGGCGAAAAACCCGGACTCCATCGCAGGCTGGAAGCTGCTGATGTTCCTCCCGCGCATCCTGCTGCGCACCTCGTCAGCACGCACACCTGACTGGAAAGCCATGGGTGCAAGGCTGACACGATTTCGCCAAGGACAGTGGCGCAACCTGTACGACGAGGCAGCGGACGCGGTTACCAGCAACCCTCAACCACGACACGTACCTGACGACACTGGCAAGCTCTCGCGGGCCGAAGGCTTGGCGAAACGGGGGAATCTGGCGAAATCACTACAGACTCTGACTGCCACGCCAGTCTGCACGCCGAGCGCTGAAGTACTCAACGCGCTCAAAGCCAGACACCCAGACGCCGCCACGGCCATACCTTCCTGGGTGCTCGACTTCGCCCCAGAGAACGTCCCTGCCATCGCTGCCCGGGACTTCAGGCGACTGCTGGCAAAATGTCCCAACGGAGTGGGGGCTGGGCCATCAGGCACCACCTTTGAGCACCTCAGAGATGCGGCCCTTGGGAACGGGGACGTTTTCCTGCAGTTGCATGCACTTACCAACACGGCACTCTCTGGAAAGCTGACGGCGGACGTGGCGGAACTCCTAACAGCGTCACGACTGCTCGCCTTCTCGAAACCAAACGGTGGAACGCGGCCGATAGCAGTAGGCGAATGCCTACTACGCCTCGTTGCCAAGGCGGCCCTTTTCCTAGCCGCACCAGCGGCGCGTGAGCACTTCACCCCGCTACAGTTCGGAGTAGCAATCGCGGGAGGAATAGAGGCGGCAATTCACACAGCACGCACCTACCTGGAGGAATTCCCAGGAGCGACGGCGCTGCAGATAGACCTGGCCAACGCCTTCAATGCAGTCGAGCGCGCGGCAGTGTTCGAGGGCTTGAAAGGCACCGACCTCGAGGCCTTAGTGCCCCTCGTTCGCTTCTCTTACGGCAACCCATCGGCGCTCTACCTCGACCATGACTTCGGAGCAGAACCCCTTAGGAGCGCGCGGGGTGTTCGTCAGGGGGACCCGCTAGGACCCATGCTGTTTGCAGCCAGCATCCACCCCTGCCTCGTCCAATCGGCGGCGGCACATCCGGAGGTGGTGTTTCTGGCGTATGCAGATGACATCACCCTGCTGGGGGAGGCGGCCAACTGCACGGCAGCCTTTGCACACCTCACGGAAGCCCTTCGACTCCATGGGCTGGCCCACAACCCCTCGAAGTGTGAGGCGTGGTCCGCAGCTGCGCTCGACCCCTCCACCTTACCTACCGGCATCACGATATCACAAGACGGAGTCCGCGTCCTAGGCAGCCCCATCGGCCCCCCCACAGGTTGCGCGTCCAGAGTTCGCGAGCGCCTCGCAGCAGCGGCCGAACCTCTCGCGCTCCTCACACAGATGGACCCCCAACTCTGCCTGCTACTACTCACCCGCTGCGTGAGCCGCCGCGCCTCGTTCCTGGTCCGAGCCACGCCCCCCGAAGCCCTTCCGCAGGAGGAATGGTCGGCCTGGGGGGAACATCTGCTCCACACCTACCTGGCCGCGGCACACACGAATGTCCCTAGGGACCGGGCAGAGAGGGACAGAACCTGGCACCAAGCCGCGCTGCCTGCGTCCCTAGGAGGCCTCGGCATTACTAACCCTGCGGTGGAGGGGAGATTCGCTTACCTGGCATCAGTTGTAGCAGCCTCCCACCTGCTACGCTCCTTCGGCGACGCGGCAAACCCGGCCCTAGCAGGACTGCTGCCGCTGATGGACGCTGACGGCGATTCCACCTCCCTGCTCCCACGACGCCTCGCAACCCTGGAAGCCGAGCTGCCACCAGACGGAATAGAGGCCCTGCAAATTGGGAGGCAAAAGCCTAACGGGCCAAAGCTGCAGCAAGCTCTCTCCCTCGCGGTGCACACCGCGCGCTACATCCGACTGCTGGATAGCTCGCGGAACATGGATCTGAACCCACTGTTTGGCCACACACAGAGACTACAGTCCCTCTTAGGCCCGGGGGCGGGGGATTGGCTGCTCGCCATCCCCCTGATCACTTCCCTCCGCCTCGGCCCCTCCCAATTCTCCACCGCGGCATCCTTCCGCCTGGGACTGCCCTTACCTGTGCCGAGACGCTGCAATTGCCGATACCGCACCACCTTCCCGGACGATCGCTTGCCGAATCACTTGATGCGGTGTGAGAAAGGGGGGGGGAGAATCGGCACACACAATGCCCTGCGCGACGAGTGCGCGAAGATAGCGGCTGAAGCGGGATTCACGGTGCACAAGGAGACAACGGCATATTCACCGGTCGAAAACCTCAAAGCGGATATCTCTATCCGCCATCCCGACACCGGTGCAGTGTGGATTTGTGACATCACAGTCACAGACCCCGTCTCCCACCAGGACGAGTACGCGCGTAAGGCCCCCGGATGGGCGGCTAGGATGCAAGCGGACAAGAAGGAGACAAAATACGCCGGGCGGAGCCCGTGGGTGGGCTTCTACGCCATGGCCGTAGAGACCTATGGCTACCCCTCACCTGGAGTCCTGGATTTCCTTCGCAGCTGCGCGGAGCTAGCGGCAAAGCGGCGGTTTAACGCCTCCCCAAAGTCGAGGGAGGTGGCGAAACTACTTACCGAGTACCGCCAGCGATGGAGCGTGACCTTGCAGAGAGCCCAAGCCAACGCACTCAGGGATAAGACCCACGAGGCTCTTACCGCGGACGCGCTAGGCCTGCAGGGACCGTTCACTCCACTGAGCGAGGGCCAGCTGTACCAACTGATAGAGGACCCCCCCGGCCACTAGGGCCGGAAGGGAAAGGGGGCGGCTGTAGTGGTGTTTGGATAGGAGACTGCACCTGTGGCTTTGTTGTGCATGGCTTGCTCCCTTACCCTGTGTGTACCTTGATGATATTAATACGACGGACCGTTCGAGAGAGAGAGAGAGAGAGAGAGAGAGAGAGAGAGAGAGAGAGAGAGAGAGAGAGAGAGAGAGAGAGAGAGAGAGAGAGAGAGAGAGAGAGAAAAAAAAAACAATTCTCAAGAAAGCAAAGAGGTTGCGAAGAACATTGTGATGAATTATCGCTCTTTTATCACCCTTTGATCAACTGTAATTATCTCACTTACATCACTCATCGCTCTTTCTCAGTCACCCTTTCCCAACAGTGGGCTCACCCAAGTCTTGATATTTATCAGGTTGTTCTCTGATAAACCCTTGCCTGAGGGCGTGTTGCCCTCCATTGGGAACACAGCCTTGCGTGCAGTTATGACCGACAGCACCACCACTCCAAAGCTGCAGCGGATAACATGCAAACATGGGCACAAACACGTAAATGCAGCTCTTGTAGCTCTTTGCAAGACTTCCGGCAGCGAGGATTGTGATTGGGCATAGGCATGACTATTCAAACGCTGTGGGAGGAGATGGGCGTAGGACGGTGTGCAATGATGGTGATTAGCATGATTGCATGTAGCAACATGGTGGGAATGGTGTCTTTTGAGTCGACTAGGCATGACTACTCGAACGCTGTGGGAGGAGACGGGAGCAGGCATGTGTGCAATGATGGTGTGCAATGATGGTGTGCAATGGTGGTGTGCAATGATGGGGTGCAATGATGGTATGCAATGATGGTGTGCAATGATGGTGAGTAGCATGGTTGCACGCATAAAAATGGTGGGAATGGTGTCACACATGCACCTATGCTCATGACCTCCACCTCTGCAACTATACTACAGGCAAGTACCGCTCTGTACCTGTACTGGTCCTCCCCACCTGTGCATAGCCACCACGAAATGGCCTTCTGTGGCTTGGATTAAGTAGGATATTCACGAACAGAACAATTCTGTAGATAACAGAAATATTACGAGCTAAAACACTGTCCTGTACCGGCATGAACCTGCCGTGGTACAGCTCATACCCTCCCTTGTTATCTCGGCTTGGACCGCTCTGAAATGGCCTGAACCTGTCGTGGTACAGCTCACACCTCTCTTAAACTGCTCTGTTCCGGCTTGAACCTATTGTGCACACATCTGTGACTTCGCTTCCCTGTGTGCACGTCTGCTACTGAACTGAGCTTCTGTGGTTTGATGTCGGCTGGGGAAAGTAGGCTGGGGAGAGTGGGTTGGGGAAAGTAGGCTGGGAAAAGCTGGCTCGGGAAATTAGGCTGGGAAAGTTGGCTGGGGAAATGGGGAAAGTAGGCTGGGGAAAGCTGGCTCGGGAAATTAGGCTGGGAAAAGTAGGCTGGAGAAAGTTGGCTTGGGAAATGGGGAAAGTTGGCTGGGGAAAGCTGGCTCGGGAAATTAGGCTGGGAAAAGTAGGCTGGAGAAAGTTGGCTGGGGAAATGGGGAAAGTTGGCTGGGGAAATGGAGAAAGTAGGCTGGGAAAAGCTCACTCGTTCCTCCTCTCACCTGTACACGTCTGCAGTGGCCCTCTGTGTCCACGAGTACGCAGGGTCCGCATAGCCTTCACCCACCCCCTGCTTCTCCACCCACCTCTGCACTCACTCGTGCCTTCTCTCTCATGTGCTATCAGCGTTTCACACACCCGTGCCTCCTCTCACCTGTACACGTCTACTGCAAGAGTGGCCCTCTGTGTCCACATGCATGTATGCAGGCTCCGTATAGCCTGGAGTTCCCATCTACCCTGCACTTACCTGTAGCACTCAACTGTGCCATCCTATCAGCATTTCAATCACTCTTGGGCCTTGTCTCACCTGTACACGTCCAATGCTGGAGTGGCTCGCTCTGTCCACACGTATGCAGGGTCCATATAGCCTATTGTTCCCACCCTCCGAGTTGCATCTCCTGTGGCGTCCATGTTCATCCGCACCTGCCCAAAGTCAGCCACCTTGGCCTGGGGAGAGTAGAGAGAGGGGAAGCGAGGGGGTGGAGAGAGTGAAGAGCGCACAGTGGCGTCCATGTTCATCCGCACCTGCCCAAAGTCAGCCACCTTGGCCTGGGGAGAGTAGAGAGAGGGGAAATGTATGCGTGACACTCTTTTTCACCTGCATGTTCCTGTCAAGCAGGATGTTGGCAGGTTTGATGTCACGATGCACGATGTTGAAGCTGTGGAGGTACTCCAGGCCTCGTGGGGAAGGGAGGTGCTTACAGAGAAAGGCACACTCCAAACAACCTCACCTGCATATGCTTGTCGAGAAGGATGTTGGCGGGCTTGATGTCACGATGCACGATGTTGAAGCTGTGGAGGTACTCCAGGCCTCGTGCCACCCCTATGAGCACGTCAAAGCGCTGCCGCAGGTTCAGAGGGTGTGCCGCACCTGGTGGTGGTTGTGGAGAGGAGGTGGAAAAAGGGTGCATTACTAATAAAGCGCTTCAAACGGCTTGACAAGTGCGATGCAAGCCCTGAGCAACCCCTATGAGCACGTCAAAGCGCCACACCTGGTGGTGGTTGTGGGGGGAAGTCGGAAAAAGGGTGCTGTACGAAGGATAAGGAATCAAGCAAGGCCCAGAGAGATTCAGAAGAATGTCACGACGGCGAAGGACGAAGCAAGGAATGCAGCAGGTGAGGCGCCTCAAAACCATCTTTTTAACCACACACAGGCGCCTCAAAACCCATCTCTTTAACCACACACATGTGCCTCGAAACCCATCTCTTTAACCACACACATGCGCCTTATGAATCGTCTCTCTACCCCCACACAGGCGCCTCATGATTCGTCTCTCTACCCCCACACAGGTGCCTCATGATTCGTCTCTCTACCCCCACACAGGCGCCTCATGATTCGTCTCTCTACCCCCACACAGGTGCCTCAAAGGCCTTGAGCACGTAGACGTTGGTACTTGCACTACTTTAGGAATGACCAGCGGCACACACGTGCCAACGAAATCCTTCCAGCACCCACCTGGTCCCAATGCATCTCTTGGGGTCATGACAGCCCATGTACTCGAAGAGGAGAGAGAATACTCTCTTGCCCCATTTGCCACGAGGTAACTTGTGACTTCTGAGTCGACTCAAAACCCACCTGGTCCAATCCACCTCTCGAGGTCACCATTCTCCATCAACACATAGATGGGAAGCTGCTCAGTACCCACCTGGTTCCAGTTACCGCCATGAGGTGACTTTCAGGTCAACTCAGTACCCACCTGGTCCAATCCACCCCTCGAGGTCACCATTGTGCATGAACTCATAAATGAGAACCTGCTCTATGCCCCCAGCCATTCCCCCAGCCGCCACGAGTTGATTTGAAAGTCTACTCAAACCCGCCTGGTCCGATCCACTTCTCGAGGTCACCGTTGTGCATGAACTCATAGATGAGATTTGCTCTATGTTCTCGCTCGCAGCGTCCATGTGGCTGTATCTGACCAAGACCATCCAGGCACCCACCTGGTCCGATCCACCTCTCTAGGTCCCCATTTTGCATGAACTCTTAGATGAGAACCTGCTCTATTTGCTCATTTGCCACATGTATGTGCCGGCAGAATCCCTCGAGGTTGATGTGGTTCTCTCATTAGGGATCATCAGCGATTCAGGGTATCAACGCACTCCATCCAGCACCCACCTGGGCCACTCCACCTCTCGAGGTCGCCGTTGTGCATGAACTCATAGATGAGAACCTGCTCTATCTTCT